CGGAACTCAGGTCTGCACCTGAAGTCCTGACATTCCAATTCATAGCTCTGAGGAACAATCCCTGGGGTTGGACTGGGGAATGTGCCCAGTTAAAGGTGCTTTTCCTTTCCTTACTGGGACACTTCTATTAGAATGTAGTTACACACACGTATGTTCACACATCACCTCCCAGTTAACCTACACTGAACTCCAAAAAACTGAGTAGTCAGGGTAAGATGCTAAGGTTAGCCTCAGATTTAGGCTCAGGCCTGTGCTGCTGGGAGACAGTTTGAGCTAGATTTAGGGGTGTTTTGGACCTGTTCCTCCCTTCAGGTCTGCTCTTTTCACTGTGTCTTGGTGCTTAGACTTGCCTCAAGGCAGCTCTGACAAATCTGTTCCTAGAGGAACCTCATTAAAGTAAAAGAACAGGAAGTTACTCCAGTGATAACCTTATTTTTGGTGAAATTTAGTGAATCAAAAGGAATCATGGGGTTGGGATGAGAGTTTGCTGAGGGAGGAACAAAGACCTTTTTGTTACCTCCACTCAGCCACAACATCACATTGCACCTTAACTCCTTCCCCATGGAGAAAGCCTAACCCAGAGAGGCTGATTGGATGCACTGAGGCTCCTCCTGCACCAAGGATAAGGAAAGAATTCCAGACTAACTGTGAGGCAGCTTTGTTTTGTTTATGTAGAATCATTCCTGATAACTATGTTTTGGCCTAAACTTGATAAAGAAGCAGCTTTGACTATCCTCTCAGAATCATGTGTACAGCTAAAATTATGTAAAGCAAATGCACCTAAAAAGGTATTGAAAAATCACCAACACCAGAGTTTTCTTGCTGTAAAGAAACAGCTTCATTTCACTTAGGACCTGAATTCAGCTGACTTAAGGGAAATAGGGTTGTATAAACTACTGGCAATTTGTTTAGATGAAATTTTTTTTGCAAGTGATATTGTAAATTTGAGAATATATTTTCTAGAATCCTTGCTTGGAAAAAAAAATCATTTTTTTAAAGTTTTGTAAAATAGTCAAGATGATCTTATAAGTGAAAACACAATAAATTGCTCTCTTAGCTTCCTTGAAGTGTTTTACTGGAAAAAAGAATTGTCTGTATATTCTGTATTAACCAGGTGTTAATATCAGCCCCCGGTACATATTCCCTCTGATATTACTTTCCAGACCTCTCTCTCAGAAAAGCTTTCAGACTATGTTGTCTTTGAATAAATTCATGTAAGAAAAGGACAAAGAAGTCCAAGTCTCAATAATCCAACAAGGTAAGTAGCAACACATGTGGCACTTAACTTGTAACACTGAGCTGGGATCATGGGATGGGAATTGCTCACAGCAGCAACTGATTCCTTGCTAGGAATTAAACTTGCTCTGTGCCCACAGCTGAGGAGTTCAGACGGTAAAGGACAAGGACAAGCAGTGCCCCAAGGAACTTGAGCATTGTGGCTACAGTGTGACAAGTCTTTATTTTAAGAAGTGCTCACATTTAAAAACTAGAGACAACACCAGTAACTGACATCATTTTCAGAACACTTGAGAAATGCATTCACCTTGCTCACTTTCAGATTACACCACAGGTAGGATACCCTTAGCAGCCCAGGGAGAGAGGAGCAGGGATCTCCAGGATATTGCACTGTCCATAAAGCCAGAACAACTTCCTCTTGCTAGAACAACAAACCATTGCCAGGACAAACAGCATAGCAACCCTGAACAGCTTAATACTTACACCAAACCTGGCCCACATGTAACTGGATTTCAAGTATATTAAATATTCCACCAGCTCCAGCTAGAAGTCAAATCATTGCAGGTTGCAATTAGAGTGTTAAGAGGCAACCCAAGGATCTGCATTCCAATTGCCATTAGATTCCAAGATCTGCTTTTCGTATTGTAAGCATTAGAGTAGTCACAGTATGAGACTCCTTGTTGATCCCATGAGGTTACCTCTCTCAAAACTATGTTTTGGATGGGGCAGCAACATCACTCTTCCTGCTGCTGGGCATCTTTGTGGAGTTGGCTGTGATCCAGGGATGGAGAAGGACATCCTTGAGGGGCAGGCGATGGAATGGGTTATGCTTGAGAAGTTTGGAAATTAAGTCCCTGGCACCTTCTGTTACAAATGGAGGAAACTTGAATTCCACCTGAGGAAAAAGGACATGAAAAGTGATACAAAAGTTCTTTGGCAATGACCAAACTATAGAACTAAAGGGCTTTACCCTGCAAGGCACACCTAGAGAGAAAAGCTGTGTGAGCCTTGCAGGCTGAGCACCTTCTGCCTCTTGAGATGGGATTAAATAATTCCATCATAGTCCTGAATAAATTTCTCACTGCTTATAGAAATACTTGTATACTGTGGATATTTTCAGCATGCTTCAGACAAGCTTAGTTTGCTGGAACCTTCCTAAACTATGCAGCAGAAAGAGCTAATTTAGTATCACTTTGAATATTAAATATTCCTTTTAGGAATTAAAAAAACTGTGGAGGATTAGTTGCTTTATGTAGGACCTAGAAAGTCAGATGCAGGTAGAAACAGGGCAGAACTAAGGAAGCAAGGCAAGGTATCTTCAAGTCTCTCAAACGAGTCTACTGAATAAAGACAGTTTTAGGGATAGTTTTACACACATTATGCCTTGCTGCAGATCTAACACCTATCCTTCAAAATGCCCTTTTGCCAGATCTGCAAGGCAGCACAAATCAGTTAGCCCAACTAAGTGTTGGCACTTACCCTGGAAATAGCTCTGTAGGTTTCCTGGTCAAGGTATCTTCAAGTCTCTCAAACGAGTCTACTGAATAAAGACAGTTTTAGGGATAGTTTTACACACATTATGCCTTGCTGCAGATCTAACACCTATCCTTCAAAATGCCCTTTTGCCAGATCTGCAAGGCAGCACAAATCAGTTAGCCCAACTAAGTGTTGGCACTTACCCTGGAAATAGCTCTGTAGGTTTCCTGGTATGTTTCTGCTTCGTGGTTTCCCTCTACAAGGAATTCATAGCACAGGACTCCTAGGCTCCAGATATCCACCTTCTCATCATGTGTTCTCCCCTCAATCATTTCAGGGGGCAGATAGTCAAGTGTCCCACAGAGAGTTGTTCTCCTGAAGGAAAGACTAAGTTCAGCATTGTGGCAATTATAGGATCTGTTTCAAGAGCCTGATAAGAACCTTCCTTCACCCCACTTGCTGGTCATAGCATCATAGAATCAACCTGGCTGGAAAAGACCAGGCTAACAACATGCCCTGCTACACCAGTTGACTATTAAGACCTCTGGTGTAGTGCCCTAGTTCTTAAAGCATTTTTCCCCAGGGTCTTAAGAAGTTCACATATACTTCCACTCCACAACTGTGGTACAACTAACATTTTCACTCCAGAGGGATTTCACTGCCTAGGACAGAGGTTGAATTCTCACCTGGAAGATGGAGCATGCACAGACCATCCAAAGTCAGCAATTTTTAACTCCCCATTTGAGCCAAGCAGCAAGTTCTCTGGCTTGATGTCTCTGTGAATCACACTCTTGGAATGGCAGTAGGAGAGAGCATCTGCTAGTTCTGTGATGTACTGTGTTCAGAAAGAACAATGCTTAATGAAGCCCCTGTCACTTGAGTTTCTCTGGCTGCAGCACAGCCTTTTCTAGGCATAATTAGTAGTTTTAAGTTAAAGCATTCATTAAATCCTTGAAGTTTGGAGTGTTTGGCAGTACAGGCTGTGCCTGCAGTCACCAAGCACTTACAATATTAAGTAGTTCTGAACAGTTATATCAGTGCTGTGCAGTAATTTAGCCTCCCAACCTATTCCCTACTCCAAGGCCATAGGCAAACTACCAACTCAGTGTCACACAGAGCATGATCTATCTTAGAGACAACCCAGACACAAGAAATTATGTATAAGGAAGGTGGAACAACATACAGTAGCAGTTCTTTGCTCATCAAACTTGGTAAGCTTCTGGAGCTCCTTGAAGACTTCCCCACGAGGTGCATACTCCAGAATCAGGTAGACTCTTGTAACATCATGGAAGTAGCCATATAACCTGAGGATGTTGGGGTGCCTGCAAAGAGATTCAAATATGCTTCTGCACAAGGGATTTACCCAAAACCTTTAAATTTCCCTTTCCTGCCTCTTCTATTTCAACACCAGCACAGGAACTTCAACATCCTTCACCTCATAAAGTATCAAGAGCTTCATAGCACAGAGGTGTTCACCAAAGCATCAGCTTATGAGTCCCTACTAGCAAGCAGCTAGCTAAGAGTTTGGCTAATTCACATCTTCTGAGCATACCTTTCTACAGCAGCCTGGAAGAGTAATCACCACTGAAGGTGTCAATTCCTATGGGTTTGGTAATTTAAGCTTCAACACTTTGTCTGAAAACTCAATTTCTTCTCATTTCACAGTAAATAGAATACCAAAAACAAAGTTCAGACTTGAGAAATTGCACTTCCCCATGTAAATCCAACAGCAAAGGGGTTTTTTTAAGAAGATTTGAGTAGGTCACTTCATTGCAAGGAAGACAAAGGTAAATTGTGGTGCAGAAAGGCAAAAATCCTAACTAGCAATTCCAAGGTGTCATGTAGTTCAAGAGAAACTTCTTTCCATGTGTTTAAAGAGAAGCTTCTCTTTTCTTCAAAGAAAAATCTCAGCATAAATAAACCTTATCCTAAGCAAGGTCACTGCAAACAGAGTAATTGGTCACCAAACCTTACCTGAGGTGAGACTGTATTTCCACCTCTCTCCGCAGCTGATGTTCCACCCCAGCTTCCTCCAGCTGTGTTTTGAACAGCACTTTCAGTGCCAGGATAAACTTGCTCTGTTTCTCACGTGCCAGGTACACATTCCCAAATTTTCCTTTCCCCAGGGGACGCCCAATCTCAAAGTCATCAAGAGACCATTGCCTTCTGCAAGAGGAAAGAGAAAGTTGGTTATGTGAGCTTTGACTCCTATACTGACAGTCTGTAATATTCTGGTCAAGAGTTAGTGATCTAAACTAGATTTTTGTCTTTAAGAGAACACCAAGAGAATAAAACAGGCATTGAGACTTTTCAAAAAGAAGCTTTGAAAGCTGTTCTCTTCCTTCCTAAAGCTTATGCAGGCACTAACACCAACCACACTACTACAAAATCAAGGCCGTGCATACCAAGCTGAGCTCCTTTGGATACACTGCACAGACACATCACTAGGGGATGGCAGAACTATTTGCAATAGCCATAAACAACTCCAATGCCATCCTGAGTTAGGCTCCAGCTCTTGCCCAGAGGGAAGAGGCCTTGTTTGCATAGATTCATAAATTAAGGGGTTGGAATGGAGCTTAGAGATCATCCAGTCCCAACCCCCTGCCCTGGGCAGGGACACCTCCCACCAGAGCAGGTAGCTCAAGGCTTCATCCAACCTGGCTTGGAACACAAAGTGTACACTTTCAAAGGTACATCTGGTGCCTGTGGCAGAAGCTATCAGTGTTCTCTCGTGCAAAGAGCTCAAAGTTTTCTTCAGATTGCAGGAAATCCCTGTTCCTGAGAATTATCAGGTCCAGGGAAGCTTTCCTAGTGTCTGCAAAGTCCAGAGGTCACCAGATTCCACAATCAAGGAATTCCAGTAACCTTCAGTTTAGCTGCAGATCAGATGCAGCATGAAGTGCTAGAAATTAAAAATAGGTCTAATCCAGCAGGGCTCAGTTAGCTACATTTAGGCATAAAACTTACTTTTTAGTCTCTTCAGTTTTCTTTTTGGCTGCATCGTCACTTTTCTGTTTAGAAGTGGTTTCTGCTTCAGGATTCTTTGCTATGGTACAGAGAAGTAATAATCAATTTACAAACCAGATTCACAAACACAACACAAATCTACACAGGAGCAAATCCAACCCCTGTGCACCACCTGAAACAGCTCTTAGAACACACCCAAAGGCATTTTAAGCCACTTGGCATGACTTACTGTTGGGAAAGAAACATTGTACTGTCAAAATGGAATTTTAAAGGTTTTAAGATGACAACCATGAAGCTTCCCAATGAAGAGAGCATTTTTGTGTGCCAGAGATGGACACAAATCCTGGAAACCCTGTGAGGTCTGAATGGCATTAACTCACAGGTGGCTGCTGAGCACCTGGAAGGTTGTTAACACACCTATTGGCACTGAATGGTAAATTTGGAGCTAAATTTTACAGGGACAGTGCAGTGACATCTAAGGTGAAGCATATGCTGCTCTTCTATATAACCAGGAGATTTTCTACAGGACTGTCCCCTGCAGCTTTAGGCTTCCTGCACTGCTCTCTGCTCCATAAGAGTATCCCAAGTGTTACAGCTGTGTGAACACATCATCCTCACAATTAGCAGGTCCTGGAGCCTGTTGAGGTTTTTCACTGGTCTTGCTTGGAACTTGAGGCCTCACAGTAGCTTGAAGTGGCAGTTTGGTTCGGAGCTGCTGTGCTGGCTGATTGTGGGACGGTTTTTTGTTTGATAGCACAGGTTTTTGGGATTGCACAGGAACTCTCTGCACAAAGTTTGCAGGGCACAGAACACGTTGGGCTTGAGCTCCAGTGGTCAGTAAACGGCTCTGGGCTGAGTACTGGGACACAGGGACACGTTTTGGGCCATCCCCAATGGGGTTAGGAACCTACAAAGAGAAAAGAGGATGTGATAGTTGTAGAACAGTTTAACCTTGCCACACACATCTGAAGAACACCAGGCACTGTTCTTTCCAAGAGAAGACTGATAAAAGATAAAGTTACTATAGTTTGAAACCTGTAGCTCATTGTGATCAGGAGAAATGCACCCACCACCCCCACTAAAAACTGAAGGAATAATTGCCAATCCCAGAACGAACCACACACACTATAGACTAACTGCATACCCCACAAACTCAGACACCCAGAAACCCCTGACTCAGTGAAACAAACTGCTCAGCATAACAGACAATCTGTCTTGCAGCCATTCACCTTAGCAGCTCGGCCAGGGTACACAGGATGGTTCTCCTTCGTGTTCCTCTCCATAGTGCCCACGGCAGTCACACACACCTCAGCCTGCAGGGTGAGGAACAGGGATCAGCTCCACACCTTGGATCTTCTAGCCAATACTCCCCACAAACCCCGTTGGAACGTAGGGAACAGTCACTATGTACTCCAGGGCATCTGGGGCAGAGAACCACCGGGTGGGCAGGGAGCCCAGGGCAAGCAGGGACCCTCCAGAAGGAAAAGCACCCTCAAGTACCATAAGGAATCCCCAATACCATAAGGAATACCTAATTGCCCCAAGAGACTCTCTATAAACACCAGGGCCCCCCAGGACCATAAGGGATACCCAACTGCTCTAAGAGACTCCCCACAAATACCAGGGGGCCCCAATACCATAAGGGACGCCCAACTGCCCCAAGAGACTCCTCGCAAAGGTAAGAGGCCCCCCCCAATACCATAAGGAATAGCCAATTCGCCCACGAGACTCCCTGCATAGGCCAAGGCCCCCCCAGGACCATAAGGGATGCTCAAATATCCCAAGAGACTCCCCGCAAAGGCCAAGGGGCCCAAATACCACAAATGACACCCAGCTGCCCTAATAGACTCCCCACAAACTCCAGGGCCCCCCTAGTTCCGTAAGGGTCTCCCGAGGCCCAGCAGGCCCCATCCCCTCACACCACTCACCCTCGCGCCCCTCCCGATCCCTAGCGACTGTTAGGATTCAAACGAACGCGCCTTAAATACCCATCCCGCGGCCGCCGCGCCAT